AGTAACTAGTCTAACGGCTGTTATTAATAAAACTAGCTAATTAGACTAAATCAACTTAATAAATTTGCCTTACATGTCATTTTACTACAACAATAGTCAAAATAATGAAGTTAGAATATAATATATAAATATACCTGGATTTATATGAACTCCAATGAGATCACCATAACCTGTTTACTGGAACTTTCTGTAATCCCGACTCAGCACCATGACTATAAATATATTCGATACCTGTATCAGAATGTAAAAAAAAATAACTTCTAAGTTTCTAGAGAATCTTAGTCATTTTGTAGAATTTTTGTTCTTACAGAATAATTTATATTTTCCACAAACGGATGAATCCAAATCACACATGCACAGCTCTATGTTTTCTGAGATTAGATAATGGTCGTCAGCATTAAATATATGCTGTGAGTTGCAACTCTCACTTTCCAGAGAATGATGGTGAAGACAGGATATCAGATGGCTGTGTTGGTTATAATGGTGATAAATGCTGCCACCGTAGTTAGTCAAAATCTGGAAGTGGATGTGGGCTTGATTGTGAATCAGGTAGTGGAACACCATCTCACCGGCTGTCACCTTGTGCTCATCACCACTACACAACACTCACGCTTATTCTCCAGAATAATCAGGTGACGTTTGTTATTATAAATTTACCTTGTACTTTGTAGGATTATGTATTGAGGGAATGAAGTCCGGGTGGTTTGTTAGCCAGGAGCAGTCGACCTAGGACCACCTCCTCCAGGGGCATAATAATGTAATCTTGTGTCTTTCAGACACATGAGTGTGGGTGTGGAGGCTGGCGTGGTAGTGGAGGCAGGATCGGTGTTCTCTGAAAACCAGTTGACCCAGGACCACCTTCTTCGTGGGCTATGGAGGGACACCAGAACCACCTGCCATGGACTCATCCTCGATCTTACCACCACCACCAGCAACAATACCAACTTTATTTTCAGGTAATGTGTTCTGATTTGAGTAAAATCTAATGCCGAGAGGTGTTGCTCTACATATATGGTAATATATTTGGACCACTCTAATTGGGGAAGAAATACTTGATTGTAAGCCATTCGTCGAAAAAAGAAGGTACCAGCATTTCTTGAGTTAGATGTATAGGATCAGTGATTTAATAATCTTAACAGTATTTCCACATAGGGTCAGAATGTAGATATTACAAAATAGGAATCGACTTTTCTAGATAATAAACATCCTGCTTTATAATCATTTCAGGTACAAATCTACTTCCATCGTCAATGTATCATCAATTGAAGGCAGTCTGATATGTGAACGTCCTTACATTTTGTTTTTAATATTGATTATGAATATTGTACTTTAATGAAAATATCACTAAGATATCGTGTTACCAGACATAAGGAAATCTTTCTAATCACTGTTGTGGCATAGCAGTTTTTTTTTTGAGGGGGGGGGGAGGAATTTGTTTGTGTGAGTGTGTGTGTATGTGCAGCCACACACATGGTGATGAAATGCGTCTTGAGTGGCAGCAGTATGTTAGTGTTAAAGTGCAAACACTTCTTGCCCCCTCCCTCTTTCAGCTGCCGCCGTTGGCTAGCCCTCGTGGCGAACAGGGAAGCAACTTGCTTAAGTCTCCCTGCCAGTACAAAGCCTCCTTACCATCAAGACTCCTGCTATGCCTCCTCGTGGCAACACACGGTAACTGGGTGCCTTGTGGGCCCAGGCTAGATCAGCAGGGAATCTCAGAGTAGCAGTGGACCCCAGAGGGACGGCGCATAGGCCCACTGGCATGTGGACACGTCCTGGCACCTACCAACCACCTCTGCCTTGCTGATTAACCTTGGCAGGTATAAGGCTACGGCATAAACCCCGAACGAAAAATCTACGATGGAGCCCCGCATCAGGCAGACATGCTTACAGAGCTAAAAAAAGACACCCAACGGCGGTGTAGGCGGAAGAGGTGACCACCGTGGTAACCAAACGACTACAACAGCGGACGAAGGCAATGCCTGATGGACAGGCTACTAAGGAGAAACCCAACAAACAGGGCTATCAGCAGTCCATTGCGACTCTCCTTCTCCCTAGTCGTTGCAACACTTGCACCACTGGATCAGGAAAAGGGAGAGCCAAGATGTGTGGTTGCAGACTGCGCTCCTGCCTCACCACATAAATCATCCAGTTCATCATACCTTTCATCATCATCAAAACCCTTATACTCCCAAAAGTCCTATGGCAGAGATGACTGCCGGGAGTCTCTAGTCACAACTCTGCACATGGGCGGCACAGATAAGGTGGTCGTTTATGCACTGGGATCTAGGCAGCAGTGCAATCTGGTCCTGTCTATGCGACTGAGCAGCCCTTTTAGGGAGCTACTCTGCTCACCCTACATGAGGAGGGGGCCAGAAAAGGTGCCCTAAACATAACCTGACTGGGCAACCGCACCCAGTATGGTCATCCTTATGCGGTCAAAAACACGACCAAATTCACAGATCCAAACAAAAACAAACCATACAACCTCTTATGGTCACTGCATGGAATGTCAGGACCCTTCTGGATACTGGCACAAACGGGCATCCTGAAAGAAGAACTGCCCTTGTGGCAAAAGAGCTGGCTAGGTATAACATCTACATAGCAGCCATCAGTGAGTCCCGGCTCCCAGATAAGGGCCAACTCACAGAACGGGGGTCTGGCTACACCTTCTTCTGGGAGGGTGAGCCTGCTGCTGAGAGAAACGGCATTTATGAAGTCGGCTTTGCCATCCGCCAATCCATCCTACACACGCTAATTGAAATGCCTATTGGGATGAATGAGCACCTCATGACGCTTCAAGTCCCACTGAATCAATCATGTCATGCCTTCTTCATCAGTGCATATGCCCCAACACTGGATGCAGACGATGATATCAAGGAGGCGTTTTACGCCGACCTCGACAGAGTGCTAACATCTATCCCAAGAGAAGACTAGGTTGTGCTTCCTTGGCGACTTCAATGTCAGAGTTGACAGAGATGATAACACTTGGCAGGAAACCATAGGGAGAAATGGACTCAGCAAGTGTAATCCCAACGGCTTACTCCTGGCATCTGGCATCTCATTGACTACATCATTGTCAAAGAAAGAGATCGCCGAGATGTCCTCGTCACCCTTGCCATGCATGGGTCAGACCACTGTGACACTGATCATCGACTTGTCAAATCCAAAGTCTCACCTCACGTCGCCCCAAAACGGCGAAGGCAGCGAGCCTCCAGAAGAGGTTTTAATATTAAGCATCTGGAGGATCCAGTGGTAGCACATGCTTTCAGAGGGCAGCTTGAACATGGACTTATAAGCAACCCAACAGCAAACAACGTGATTCCCAGTGCCGAATGGGATACTCTTAATACTGTTATGACAAAAACCTGCAGAGAGACCATCGGCCAGACCAAAAGAATACACCAAGACTGGTTTGATGAAAATGACCCGGCAATCAAGGTACTCATCGATGATAAACGTGCTGCTTTTACTGACTGGCAGAACAACCCTGAGTCTCAGACCAAAGCTGATACCTTCCGCAAGAGGAAAGCGGCAGCCGAGTGGGAACTTCGCAATTTAACGACCGACTGGCGTAAAAATAAATGACGAGATGCCCCAAATCTTGCATATTAGCACAAGATGCGCGAATTTTTCATTTCCACTAAAACATTTCATGGGCCAGTCACTCGTGGCCAGTCACTCCGCTCATTTGACGGTAACCTCATAATTAAAGACGATGAAGGCCTCCTTCAGTGCTGGAAAGAGCACTACCATTCATTGCTCAACAGAAACACTCGATGTGGATGTCCTGACTACACAGCAGGTCCCTCAGCATTCAGAGCTGACCCACCTCAGCTATCCTCCATCCCTGGATGTGGTAGCTACTGCCATCAAAAAGATGAAAAATAACAGCACCACAGGGCCTGATGGAATCCAAGCCGAGGTGTATAAAGCAGGAGGACCTCTGCTTACCAGCCGTCTCCACTCTCTACTGGAGAATATATGGGAAATGGAGGAAATCCCCCCAAGCTCTATAAGACGCCCCCATTTTCAATATGTATTTGAACAAAGGAGACCGATCAGACTGTGGCAACTATCATGGGATCTCGCTGCTCTCTGTATCTGGCAAGATTATCTCCTGAGTCCTCCTAAACAGACTTCTTCTTGAGGCAGAAAACTTCCTCCCAGAATCTCAACGTGGTTTTAGACCATTATGTGGCACCACTGATATGATCTTTGCTGCCCGCAAGATACAGGCAAAGTGCAGAGAACAGCATCGTGATCTGTAAATGGCTTTCATCGACCTAACCAAGGCCTTCGACTCGGTCAACAGGGAAGCCCTCTGGTGAACCGTCAGCCGTTTTGGCTGCCCACCAAAATTCATCGCAATTGTGAGGCAACTCCACGATGGCATGAACGGCAGTGTCTTGGACAACGACACCCAATCAGAGTTCTTCCCCATCCGAACAGGGATTAAACAAGGGTGTGTACTGGCACCAACTCTCTTTTGCATCTTCTTGGCTGCCTTCGTTACTCGTGCCAGTGCCAATTTAGCCAGCGGGGTGAACATGGAGCACCGGGTGAAAGGTCTTTTCACCATAAGACGACTCCAGGCAAGAACAAAAGTGTCGGGAGCTTCCATTACTCCTGAAATTTAGTATGCAGACGACCTCACCCTTTTTGCTCACACTGAACACGACCTACAAGAGATTCTGAACACCTACGCAGACGCGTAAGCACACTTCAGCCTTGAGGTGAATGTAAGTAAGACTCAGATTCTCTTTCAACCTGCCCCTGGTTCAGACACATCTCCACCAACCATCCAGCTTAACGGTACTACCCTTTCTAATGTTACCCACTTTCGGTATCTCAGCTCCCACCTGTCCACCACCACAGACATCGATGAAGAGATTCAGCATCGGATCAGATGTGCATCTCAAGCCTTTGACAGACTCCGAAATTGTGTCTTCAGCTGCAGGGAGCTGAAATTATCTTACAAAGCTGCATGTATACCGAGCAGTGGTCCTCCCTACCCTACTATATAGCAGTGAGACATGGGTCACATACTGCAGATACCTCAAGGCACTTGATAACTGTCACCAACGTAGTCTACGTTCCATTCTCCGAGTTCGCTGGGTAGACAAGAGAACAAATGCCATATTCTTGATGACACCAACTGTAGGAGCATCGAGGCTACTATTATCCATGAACAACTACGTTGGACTGGCCATGTTACCCGCATGGACGACAGTAGACTGCCAAAGCAGCTACTTTGCAGTCACCTAACGAATAGTAAACGTAACGCCGGCGGGCAATTGAAAATATATAAGGATAATCTTAAGACAAACCTGAAAAAGTGCCAAATCGACCTTCTCACCTGGGAGTCAATTACTCCAAATCGTAACGCTGGAGGAGCACAGCACAAGAAGGTGTTAATGCTTTCGAGTTAGCCCGACTGCAAACCGAGGCAGACAAGCGCCAATGCCGGAAAGAAACTGCCACCTCCCGTAGTAGATGGCGCCCTCCACATGTGCAACGAATGTGAACGACGCTGCAGGTCCCGTATCGGTCTCTTTAGTCACTTCAAAACTCACCAACGTAGGTGACACCCCTAATAACTCATATCATTGTATCATAGTTGGATAATCGTCATACTCGAATCCGAGTGACAGCAAAGTAGTAGTAGTAGTAGTAGTATATATCATTTATATCATGTGCCATGGAATAGCACTTATGCTAAGAATGTTGAAATGAGAAACAAATGTATTCATTCTGCAAGAGGCAAGACTCCTTTAGAGCAGCAAAGACGCAGATATGCTGCTGAAATTTTGAGCCAAATGAGCTTAAGCGAAATTTGAGGTTATGAACTACTGGGCCCATTGGGTCTTTGAGCTCTAGTGAAAATTAAACGTTCCACTCTCCCGACTCTGCAATTACCATCACTAAGAGGTGAGGAGACAATTTAACTATGTTATGTAACTAAAGTTACTGGAATAAAAATATAACAAGATGCTAATTCAGATGTAGCATTTTTTCTTTAATAAAAAAATAACTGACATTGACCTAGAACACACAAAAGAAAAATAGGCCTTGTGGCATTTTGGTGGCTACATTGTCCACAAGTTAGCTCAGTAACGGTTTCCTGGATCAAAAGTAAAAAAAAAAAAAAAAGGGACAACACCTGGATGATGTATCTAGTAGGAAACAACAACAAATGGTTAAACTTATTAATTATTTCTTAGAAAAATTACCAATAAAGAAAATCCATCCAAATGTTATTATAGGGAGTGGTTGCAAGGCTCGAAAAGGAGCCCTGAAGATGTTAGCTACAGATATGACCAAATTGTTTTTTCTTGTTAATGAAATTACATTTTATGTTCGTTACAGTACTTTTCCTATATCGTGCTGTGAATCGGGATATACAGTAAACTCACACTAGAGCAGTCACAAAATGTTGTTCGTGTTTGATATACTGTATAATTACGAGTAGTTATTTTTTTTTTACGTTTTTTTTTTCATTGCCTTTGAATATCCCGTGTACGGTATTACAATATACAAGACCTGCAGTTATTTTTCTTGCAATGTCTACTATAACATATTTAACTATAAGAACATAGAACATAAGAACATAAGAAAGTGGGATACTGCAGGAGGCCGACTGGCCCATACAGGGCAGATCCCTTTCACACCCATCCCAGCACTTCCATGTGCCTATCCAACTTCGTCTTGAAGCTCCCTAGCGTCCCCGATCCTACTATAGCACTCGGTAGCCTATTCCACATATCCACAACTCTATTTCCAAACCAGTGCTTGCCTATATCCTTTCTGAATCGGAATTTATCTAATTTAAAGCCATTTGTTCTAGTTATTTCGTTATTACTGAGCTTCAGAACATCTTCCATTTTACCCTTGTTAATCCCACTTACCCACTTGTACACCTCATCATATCTCCCCAACTCTACGCCTCTCTAATGAATGTAAGCCTAAGCTTTTCAGTCTTTCTTCATATGGAAGGTTTCTAATATTATGGATCATTTTTGTCATTCTTCTTTGTACTCTCTCCAAAGAATCTATGTCCATTCTATAATAAGGACACCAGAACTGAACCGCATAATCCATGTGTGGCCTCACTAATGCTAGGTAAAGTTTCAAGATAACGTCAGCAGTTCTGCTACTCACAGACCTAGATATGAACCCAAGAATCCTGTTTGCCTTGTTGCGAACGCTAATACATTGTGTCACATTTATTGGCATGTTAGGTGCGATAATGTCTACATAGTTGAATATTATTTTATGAAGTTTAGCTTAATGTAAAGTTTAAAGCAGTGTATCAAATAATTCTCATGACAAGCATCTACTGGCCAAGCTTGCTGCGCGCCTCAGTGTGCTCCACGTTACGTTAGTGTTGCTCCGCCCACTTGCCCGAGAGCGGATAATGTGTTTTATACACTTTGATTTATGTTATGTAGTTTTAGTTTTCAAGAGTGAGACTTTTTTTTTAACGCGAAAATAATATACACGCAGTTATTTACTCTTTCTTCTACAGTGAGCCAACACTTACCTGAATGCTCAGCACAGTAACCTTTCGTTTCCTGCACATTTAATGTAGATATTCTGTTTCATAGTTATAATCATGGTCTGTGAGGCAGGTTGACAGAAGCGTCTAGTTTATGGAAGTTTTCCGAGATGCGGGTGGTTTTAGTGGGTGGAAAGGCAGGGATGAAGGACGTCCTACTCCACCATGGCCTTCGCAACACCGTACACGTCCTCTACCTGGCCATCACCGACCTCACCCTCCACACCCCACCATGGCATACAAACTCACGTCTCAGGAAGGTCCTCCCACAGGAAGGTTAGTGTATGATAAGTTTAGTGAAACTTATGTGTTCTCAGGCACCTTGTCCCTAGCCATTTTATTTGAAAAAAAACATTATTTTCATATTCAAAGATGAAAGAAAGAAAAAAATCTAACATTTCTCTCGTTGCATGATGGTATTTTGGATACTGAATATATATATATCTTGATAAAATCACACGGGAAAATGGAAACAACGGAGTACCTTAGCTTTCGTCTTTATTCAAGACATCTTCAGAGGCAACTGGATTACATGGACAGAGAGAGGCTTAAATATACAGGGTGACCTTAAAAACAGGAGGTCAGGTCATAAGTATAATATCAAAACTGCATCTGAAAGCAGTGCCTTGTTCGTTCATGTTAGGAATAATAATCACCCCATTGCTTGGGAAAAAAGCTTAGAAGTATTCAAATCATCTTGTGTCACAGAAAGACTTCTGGTTGAAGCTAGTTTGATTAAGGAATTAAAATCAATAAACCTTAGTGATGGTCAGTTCAAAACTGATAATATGTTACATAAATTTATTTGTCAGTGGCCCAAGGTTAAAAATGCTTTGAAAACCTTTGATCTAGATGTAGGATAGTTATTTTGTGGGTCCTTTTTTCTGACCTGACCTGGTTAGTCACGTCACCACCCTTCTCTTAAGCTCCTCTACGTGTGTGTTGGTGTGTGGATTAGTGGATGTCATCATTATGACCTGACCTCCTGTTTTTAAGGTCACCCTGTATATTTAAGCCTCTCTCTGTCCATGTAATCCAGTTGCCTCTGAAGATGTCTTGAATAAAGACGAAAGCTAAGGTACTCCGTTGTTTCCATTTTCCCGTGTGATTTTATCAAGATTTATATATATTATTTACATGAAATATATATATATATATATATATATATATATATATATATATATATATATATATATATATATATATATATATATATATATATACATATATATATATATATATATATGTGTGTGTCAACATGAATTTGAGTAATGGTATGTACAAACTGGATAATTTTGTGATTAAGAAGATTTGTAACCAGGTGAGAAGGTTGGGTCATCTTAGCCTATGACCTGACCACGGACAGCTGCTGATTAGTAAGGGTCACTGCCTTATGACCAGATCATTGTGGACCCCCTACTGTCCCCTTAGGGACTTGATCTCACCCTCCTCTACTGTATATATATATATATATGCCTTGTCAAGTATTACTCCTTTGTCTGCACTCACCCCTGAAGATGTCAGGGACAGGGCTGACAAGGAAGGTATAAAAACTTTAATTGTTGGTGACTCACAGGTAAGGTTCTTGGACAGGGCTTTTTGTGGTAAAAATAAAAATAGGAAGAGGGTGTGTTTGCCAGGAGCTGGAGTGGGGGATATAATTGACAGGATGGACAATATTTTGTCTAGTAATGGGAACAAACCCATTATCTGCCTCAGTGCAGGAGGCAATGATATTGGCCGGTGTAGGAGTGAGGAGCTTCTTGATAAGTTCAAGGCAGCTATAGATCATATTAGGTATAAGGGAGGGATCCCTATCATATGCGGTGTCCTGCCTAGAAGGAGAGTTGGCAGTGAATGGTTGTCAAGGGCAGTTGGTGTCAACGACCGTCTTGACAGATATGGCAAGTCAATATCAGTCCCAGTCATTGACAGCTGGGACAACTTCTACGGCAAAAGGGACCTTTATGCTAGGGATGGGGAGCACCTGTCTCGTTATGGGGTGCACCTGTCTTGGGATGGAGTGGCAACCCTGGCAGGGTCTCTAGAGGGGGCAGTTCAAAAGATATCGAAGTCTTTAAACTACTAGGGGAACCTATGAGCACGGGGGTGGAGGAGACTGCAGTGGAAGTGGGTAAACAAAGTAAAAGGTTACAGGGAAATAGTGCTAGAAATGATGACAAAGCTAAATTAGACAGTGAGTTAAGACCTAAACACGGTTAAGGGAGGACTCAGAACACGACGAAACTAAATGTCTACTACGCGAACAGTAGAAGTATGAGAAACAAAACGGATGATATTAGGGCCTTGGTATGTACCGAAAAAATCGATATAATAGCATTCACTGAAACATGGATCAACCTAGACTCACGTGAGTTACCTGTCGAATAACAAATTGCAGGTTACAAATTTTTCCATACCGACAGGCAGACCAGGAATGGAGGCGTAGTAGCAATCTATGTCAGGGATAACCTGAAGTGTGAAATATACAAGAAAATAAAAACTGAGCAGAATACAGAAACAATTTGGATAGAATTAAGCGACGGTAGGGAAAAAATAATCACAGAAGTAGTATATAGACCTCCCAATCTTGATAGAGTTAATGAGCGACTTATCTGGGATGAAATGCACAGGGCTTCCATACACAACAAAGTCTGTGTAGTAGGCGACTTTAACATTGGTCAAATAGATTGAACTGACCTTACGGGTAACTCAGAATCAGAGGATTTTCTCCAAACGATCCAGGACTGTTTCCTAAGTCAACATGTAACCGAACCCACCTGGGGTAATAATATACTCGATTTAATTCTGTCGAACAAAGAAAACCTCATTGGCAATGTCGAGGTAGGGAACGAACTTGCAAACAGCTATCACAAAGAAATTAGATTTCAGTTAGATTTTCAGGGCAGACGAAAGGAAAATTCCACTAAAGTCCCAGATTTCAGAAGGACAAACTTTGATAGTTTGAAGAGGCAGTTGAGGGAAGCGGTATCACGCCTGGGGGTGACTCACACCGACCTCACCCCGCCCACGAACCTGACGGTTGACACCGACCTGATAACATGATCTGAGTATGCCGAGTTCCATGACAATTTAAATAATGAGTTACTTAATGCACAAAGGCAGAACATACTATACCAAAAACTCAGATCAGACAACAATGGCCCTAATTGGATAAATAATTATTTAAAGAACATTATTGGCCAAAGTAAGGCTATAGGTAGAAGGATAAATCGTGGCGAAATTTACCTCCGGGATTATTATAAGGTATTGGCGAGTAGGGTTAAAGCCGAGATAAGGAAAACCAAGAGGAATAATGACGTAAGGATAACAGGGGAGGCGAAGACAAACCCCAAAGGATTCTACCAAATGTATCAAACTAAAACACGAGAAAAGATTGGACCAATACGGTCAGACTTTAAAAAGCTTGTTTTCCGGCATCTTCGTGGTGTAGATGAATACAGTATAACCTTTTTTCTATATTTTCAATTTCTTTCCGTTCTTTTTTTTTCGCCCCCCAGGCTCCATTGTGGGTCGTTTGACCTGTGCCCGGGTGGGCTAATTCCCATAAAAAAAAAAAAGATACCGGCGAGCTAACTGATAACAACGGAGACATGAGCAATAATCTGAATAAATATTTTTCAACAGTTTTCACCACCGAAAATTTAAACATGATACCCGAGGCACAGTCTTTATTGAGAGAGAGTGACGAAAACAAATTAAGATAGATAGTAGTGACTAGTAAAGATGTTAGTAAGCAAATAGACAAACTAAAGCCTAATTATTAGGTGACTTATTTGGCCCGACTAAGTCACCTGGTCCTGATGAGATATATGCCAGAGTATTAAAGGAATGTAAGGAAGAGCCTAGTATGCCCTTAGCAAAGTTGTTTAACATGTCCCTAAAAACAGGTGTAGTACCAGAATCCTGGAGGATAGCAAATGTAATACCGATTTTCAAGAAGGGGATAGAGCACTATCCTCTAACTATCGCCCAATCAGTCTAACACCAATAGTAGGCAAATTACTGGAAGCAATCATTTCAAACTCTATTCGAAATCACCTGGAGAAGCACCGATTGATCAATGATTCCCAGCATGGCTTCACAAGCGGGCGTTCATGTGTAACTAATTTATTAACATTCTTTTCATCAGTTTTCGAATCGGTGGACGAAGGGCAAGATTATGATGTGGTATATCTCGACTTTAGCAAAGCCTTCGACAGAGTCCCCCACGAAAGACTAATTAGAAAGGCATGGCATCAAAGGTAATATCCTTAAATGGATTAGGGCGTGGTAACAGGACAGGAAACAGCGAGTGAGCATTAACGGCACTAAATCCCATTGGAGTAACGTCACTAGTGGAGTTCCCCAAGGCTCAGTACATGGACCATTATTATTTATTATATACATAAATGACATAGATATCGGCATAGACTGCAACATAAGTAAATTTGCTGATGACTCTAAAATAGGACCTGTTATTAAATCTGACGAGGACTCCACAAAACTACAGGAAGATCTAAACAAATTTTTTCTAATGATTTGAAAAATGGCAGATGAAATTCAAAGTTCTCAAATGTAAAGTACTCAGTATAGGAGATGTAAACAGGGAAACCAGTTACCAGATAAACAACGATGCTATTGAGAAATCCGACTGCGAGAGAGATTTAGGAGTAATGAAAAGTAGGAACCTTAAGCCAAGTAAACAATGTGCATTTGCTCAAAACAAGGCTAATAAAGTACTTGGGTTCATACAAAGGAGTGTTAGTTATAAGACTAGCGAGGTCATCCTAAAACTATACCTTGCGCTTGTGTGACCTCACTTGGATTACGTAGTTCAATTCTGGTCACCGTATTACAGAATGGATATAGAATCTTTGGAAAGAATTCAGAGGAGAATGACAAGACTAATCCCGGGCATTAGGAACCTTGAGTACAGAGACAGGTTAAAGCAGGGGTGGGCAATTATTTTTGATGGAGGGCCTTGTCACTGTTGTACCAGCCGTTCACTGCCTCTCATAAGTCTTGGCTAGCTCCAAACATGTTGGTTCCTCTGTCAGACCTAACACGCTTGAGAGGTCCCCTGCGGCAGGTGAATCTTGTCAGGGCAATTAGGAACGAGTCGGTGTCTAGTGAGGTGAGGACTTCTAGGTGTATGGCTCTGGTGGTCATGTAGGTGAATAAGCATCCCCATCTCTTCGCCCGGGCTCGTCCTTGTTTAACCAAAAATGGGCTGAAGCAATCAATTCCAGTGTAGGTGAACGGCTGGCCTCCTGGGCGCACTCGATCTTCTGGCAGGTCGGATTGGCATTGGTGGGTAGGCCTCCAGTTGCTTCTTCGGCAAGTCACACACGTCTGTAATGTGCGGTCGCGTAATTTGAGGCACTTAGGTATCGTATACATCTCACGTATTATGGCAAGAGTGTGTTCTCGTCCTGAGTGTCCAGCCCTAGTTGAGTGTACCTCTCTCCCGATGAGCCCCGTGATCCTGTTGTCCCTTGGCAATACTAGTAGTATGGGATTCTCCTGGTCTGGGTGGAAAGCGACGTGTTTCAGTCGGCCACCTACTCTGATCAGACCGTCCGTGTCTAGATGAGGTTCCAGCTGCCTTATGTCGCTACCTCTCACGGGTTGTCCCTGTTGTAAAATTCCTAGTTCTCGAGGGAAACCCTTCTTTTGCATCAATCTTAAGACGGCTAATTTCGCCTCTTCCAATTTGCTGATCTGGAGACAATTTTCTCGGTGATGTTGGTTATTTTGCTTCCCAAGCCGCCATTCTATAAACCGTCTAATCCACGCTATGCTCTTCAGAAGTCGATGCCTCGATGAGTACCTGGCCCATAGCTAATCGAGGGTACCCTCCCCCTGGTCAACGTTCGCCGTCAGCACCGTGGTTTCCTTGGGTCTCCGTCTCTGAGGTCTGGAATCCTCAATGGACTCTTTGGTCAACTGTCTTCTTTCAACAAGAGGAAAGCAGGTCCCCGAATCCACCTGCCCTCCTCATTGAGCTCTACTCTATGTAATCCACGACTAGCGTCGTCGGCCGGGTTCAGTGCGGACGTCACGTGGCGCCATTGTTCTACCTTGGAGTCCTCGTGTATCGTTTAAAGTCTGAAGTTGCTCCATATGATCTTTCATATTCTGCATCATTGCTGTCAATTGGGTGAGCGTCTGCTGATAAACCCCTGATTACCCTATTTAACCTGCCTGTTGGTTTCATCCTTCTCTCGGGTGAAAGGGTTTCTCTACTTCGCCCTGGCTGTACGAGTTACTGGTTAGCATTTCTGTCATTCAGGTATTCTACACTGGTTAGGCTTGTCTCCTCTGCCTTGTTTCCTTCCATGACTGGTGACACAGTGAACTCGATTTGGCTCTTTCGGTGGACAGCTATAGAGACGTTTGGTTAAGCGGGAACGCTCTTCAACTGACACGTCTGCTTGTTTATAAAGATGTCATATAACTGAGGTCATACCAGCGATGCCATGTAACTGAAGTCATACAAGCGACGTCATACAATCTGAAGTCATGTAAGCGATGTCCTACAACTGAAGTAATATAAGCAATGTCATACAATCACGACCACAGTGATGTCACACACGAGTGACACTGGACCACGTTTCTACACACGTGTTATACACGTATTCAACTGGTTTAACTATTGGTATACAGTACATATATGCATATATATACACACATACACATATACATATATATACTTATAACTTGAATGTTGTACTCACACTTAACCCACAAATCCTTTTCATTTATGTATTTCTTCATGGTTCCTTATTATCATTGAGTAATTCACCTTATTTGTTTGACTTAAATCTAAAATGTAACACCAATGTCTTATATAATTACCGTGAAAAATATACTAAGACTTATATACGTTCACTTAAGATGAAGACAAAGTAAAAGTTAACGAATCTTATCAAAATTATGTATCTGTTAAGCGAACCTTTGGTGATTGTCTTCTGAAGTTAATTTTGCGATATGGTTGATATTTGATATACTGTGGTGTCACTGGTATAGGAAGATCAGCTGCTAGTTATAATCACTGGCGTGCGTGTCTGAGCGAACACGCTAACTACCCGTTCACCCAGACCAAAACATTTCGACACTGTCCGGGTGTTCTGAAACCTTTGCTCACTGGTGCGCGGCTTCCCTGTTCGAAAGGAACGCTCACAGCCCCGTACGCGCAGACAGAAGCTCTACGACACTGTCCGGGTATTTAAGACACTTCACTCGCTATCACTGTTCCTCATGCTGAAGACGCACCCACCCACTGTGGGTGGGTGGGTGATCGACGACCTACGCTTTCCCACGCTGGACTCCGGTGTTGGTCCTTCAACAGTCCTCCCGTATACATTTTGACTGTTAACGCTCATAGGAGCGTTATTGGTTTGTTGCTGGAGAAATAAACCCTTAACGTTGACGCGTACCATATAATTCGGTCAAAACCTGTTAAAGAACAATTCACATATAACAAATGCTGTTATCTCAGGACACATAGAATGAATAATACAATCAATATACAGTACATAGCCTGTTAAGATCTTAAATATAACTCACATGTTATAACTGTTGATACATCAGGAGACAATTTGTATAATATGATCAAATTACAGTACATATATATACTTATTAAAGTTATTTAGAGTTTCTTAGAAGATTTTAATACTTCAAGATCACACTCACGTTTTAGGGTTTAGTGGTCTGACCAACGTGTTGTCTTTCCTGTAGAAATCGATAGACTACCGTCGAGAGCAATCGCAGCCCGGAGGCGAGGACCATCTGTTTCGTATTGAAACACCTCAGCAAATTCGTCAGCAAATTCGTCAACACTATATCTCTGTTCTCACCCTCTCTCTCTTTCTCTCGCCTAGTTTATCTTACTGTGGTGGTAACATATATATATATATATATATATATATATATATATATATATATATATATATATATATATATATATATATATATATATATATATATATATATATATATATATATATATATATATATATATATATATATATATATATATATATATATATATATATATATATATATATATATATATATATATACTGTATATTTATTTATTTTTCGATCTCTGTGCCAGGAATAGTAAGTGAGCGTGTGTGGGTGTACAGGCGGTGTCTGTACTGCAACAACGGGGAGATGGACGTCCAACTTATCCTGCAGAAGAATCTCACCTCACTTATTCAACAACCTGCCCACCTCTTTCCTGGTGAGAATGATGTGAAATTAAATGTATCCCCTTGCATACGTCTGTGCTATATTTCGATAACTAGAATTGCTCTTGCTTTGTGGGATCCCATATACAGTCCTTAGGTGACGATATGAGAGATAACAGCGAGGTAAACGATGATGCAATGATGCAACAGACTTTTCTCTGCGTACAACAAATTATTTATAATTTTCTGCATTTGGAAAGTACGTAAGACTTTACAAGTTATAATCTATAAAAAATAATATTCGATGGGTTTACACAAACGCGAGATTTAAGAGAACAGTAAGTCGGAGGATGAAGATTATGTGTATATATGACTGTTAAGTATTAGAGTGTAAGTGTTAATTACTTTGGATGATGGTTTAATTCTATAGCAACATAAAACTAACAGAGAAGCAAGCAAAAAACTCATACCTATTCTCGGCAGAATAGTTCAAAACTTGATATATTTTGCCCAGTAGAGCTCAAAAACTTAAGATATTATCCTCTTGCCAGAACAGTTCCATAATCTGATGGGTTACAAGTATCGGGTAGTGGCGTTAAGATATTTCCCGTATATGGACTACGAGAGAGACAGAGACGAACCAGGCACCACTGTCACGCCGAAGGATTCCTTGGACGTCAGGATATTAACTACTCTCGCCTCAGTCCTAAATTTCACGTAATATATCCCATTTATTTTTCCTTTATAAGAATTTCCCATAAAATTTTTAAGGCATTACTGAAATACTGATGTTCATAGGTACAGTATATTCCACACAGATATATAAGCATATAAGAGGTGTGACTATAAGACATTCGGAGACAAGTCTGGCGAATGCGATGGGTGATTACACTAGATAATATTGTAGAAATATAATCCATCACCAGATACCAGATACACGAACGGAGTGATTTTAAATGGGGTGTACCGACAAACGGTAAATTTAACGGGATGATTGGTGAGCTCCAGCGTGAAGAATCTGACTTCTGTATGATCGCGGCGCCAACCCCTGAACGCCTGCAAGTTATCGACTACACGAAGGGATATACTCCAGACGTAATGATCACACTCTCTTTGAAGCCTACCTTATTGCCAGAGAACCTTTCTCTTATAAGACCCTTTGAAGGTAGGTTTTAAGATGACGGTTTATACATTTTGTAGTCTAGATATCTTATAAATCTGGTACTGACAAGTTATAAATACCAAGACAGGAAATTTGACACCTTTCCTGCAGGAGAACTGTGGGTAGCACTGCTGTTGAGCGTGGTGGCGTTTGGTGTTCTTATGTGGGTGCTACAGAAAGTGTGGTTATGGGCGGCGGGAGGGCGGAGTGTCAAGTTCAACACCGCCTTCCTGTACGGTTGGGGAGCACTCCTGGAAAAGCCTCCTCCGGTTCCCTCCGTCACCGTCTCTGGTCAAGTAAATATTACTCTAACGTCAATTTTAATCTTTTTTATTCCTTCAAGATAATATTATCCAGTGTATTACTTATCCATCTTTGAAATTATATGTGATAACTATGTCCGGTAAATAGTTTTCTTCAGCCAATTTTAACTTTGCACAGTCCCACACATAGTGTCCAAATATGACAACTTTGTCTTCAACATAGCCTACTCCTTTTTTAACACTGTGGGATAATGGTCAACATGCTCGCCTAACAAGCGATTGGACCCCGTTTCGATTCCCTGGCAGGGTGAAACTATGGGCAGGTTTCTTTAAGCCATTTTCCTCTGTCCACCCAGCAATAATTGGGAACTTGGATGTTAATCGATTTGCGGATCGTGTTCCGGGGTAATAGCTAGCCAATGCAGTTGGCGAGTTGTCCGGTTTTCTAGGGCTATTCCTTGACACTGGGTCATGCAACTCGTTAACTCAAGGTGTAGCTGTGTTGGCGACATCTTCTTCCCCTTAAATAAATTCACATCTAGGTGGCCCTTGGGCCGGCCATCCTCGTTGCACGAGGGGCAATCATTATTTTACTAACTTTTCGCTGATGCCAACAGAACATCATATAATATCTTCCCCACCAGTGATGTCTTAATGTCCTTCTGATAATTCCAATTACAGTTTTTGGTCGAGCGTCTTGACCAATACCTGACTATGTGTTCTTGTGTATGTCTGTACAGGTGCTGGTGGGGTGGTGGCTGGTGTTTTGTCTGATCATCACTACAGGATACCGCTCGTCTTTAATTGCTCACTTGACAGTTCAGGGGAAATCAGCGACACTTGAGGGTTTTATGGACTTAGTGCAACGCGACAATTGGAAGTGGGGCAGCGAGGCTTGGTTCATGACAGGAGTACCTTTAGAGTATTTCTCAAAACATACCGACCCAGTGGTCCAGAAGATATATAAAGAAATGGAGGTCAGTTCCCAAAAGCGTTTCCTATTATTTTATGCATGAAAGTGTTCTAATGGAAACCCCATGTGCGTCTCTTATGAAATATGCAAGAAGATTGCACAGTGCAATTTGGTCCCTAAAAAGGCAGCAAAAATATTGATAAGCCAGGTGGAGTTCCGTTATAGACATCCATACACACACACAAGTGTGTATATATATATATATATATATATATATATATATATATATATATATATATATATATATATATATATATATATATATATATATATATATATATATATATATATATATACAGTGTGTGTGTGTGTGTGTGTGTGTGTGTTAGTACTAATAACAAGTCTTGTGTCCAAGCTGCCTCTCGTGAAAGAAGCATTCGAGAAGGTGCTCGCGGGTGGTTACTCCTTCATCAGCTTCAAGAACTACGTCAGTGTCATCATTGCCTCCAGCTACAGCGATAGCTTCGGCAGCACACCTTTCTACATCGGCAAAGAAGAAATACCCATCTTCGTGGTCTCTGGATGGGGATTCAGGTAAATAGATTGTCTTAAGTCTTCATAATGAATAAGAAAAAATGCCTAATAACGATACGTTTCCTTTTTTCTTAACTTCTGACTGGCCACAAACGATCTAGTAGATAATCATAAAACACTAACATAAATAGTTTCAGAAAAATAAACATTATATTTTAGGTACGTATAATTTGTCTGTCATGGAATGATAAACGATATCTGAAATGAAAAAGTACTGAGTACTTTACATTTGTCCACATTGAATTTTATCTGCCATTTTTCAGACCATTCGAAAAATTTGTTTAGATATTCCTGTAGTTTTGCGGATTCTTCGTCAGATTAAATTACACGTCCTATTTTAGTGTCATCAGCAAATTTACTTATGTTGCGGTCTATGCCAATATCTATGTCGTTTATGTATATAATAAATAATAATGGTCCAAGTACTGAGCCTTGGGGAACTCCACTAGTGACGTTGCTCCAATTGGATTTAGTGCCGTTAATGCTCACTCCCTGTTTCCTGTCCTGTAACCACGCCCTAATCCATTTTAGAATATTACATTTAATGTCATGTGCTTCTACCTTTCTTATTGGTCTTTCGTTGGGGACTCTGTCGAAGGCTTTGTTATAGTCGAGATATACCACATCATAATTGTGCCCCTCTTCCACCGATTCGAAAACTGATGAAAAGAATGTTAATAAATTAATTAGACATGAACGCCTTCTTGTGAAGCCATGCCGGGAATCAGTGATCAATTTGTGTTTCTCCAGGTGGTTTCGAATAGAGTTTGAAATGATTGCTTCCAGTAATTTACCTACAATTGATGTTAGACTGATTGGACAGTAGTTAGAGGATAGTGATCTATCCCCCTTCTTGAAAATTGGTATTACATTCGCTATCCTCCAGAATTCTGGCACTACACTTGTTTTTAAGGACATGTTAAACAACTTTGCTAAAGGCATACTAAGCGCTTCCTTACATTCCTCTAATACTCTGGCAAATATCTCATCGGGACCAGGTGACTTATTAGGCTTTACTTTGTCTATTTGCTTACTAACATCGTTACTAGTCACTACTATCTCGCTTAATTTGTTTTCTTCACTATCTCTGAATAGAGTCGGTGCCTCGGGCATCATGTTTAAATTTTAAGTGGTGAAAACCGTTGAAAAATATTTATTCAGACTATTGCTCATTTCTCCGTCGTTATCAGTTAGCTCGCCGGTATCTAATTGTATTGGTGCAATCCTTTCTTGTGTTTAGTTTGATACATATGATAGAATCCCTTGGGGTTTGTCTTCGCCTCCCTTGCTATCCTCAGCTCATTATTCCTCTTTACTTTCCTTATGTCGTTCTTAACCCTACCGGCCAATACCTTTAAGCACACCAGCTGTCCGTAGTCAGGTCATAGGGTAAGATGAACCAACCTTCTCACCTGGTTGCAAATCTTCTTATTCACAAAATTATCCAGTTTGTACACACCATTACTCAAATTCATGTTGACAGATTCGGTATGTTTAATGAGACTGGATTCTATGTTATTCCTACTATCAATTGAATTACAAGGTAATATTGAGGAGGCATTATCCCAGTCAATGCAATGCTTGTTATCCCTCAAATGAACAAACAGAGCATTGGATTCCTGGCCTGTCCTAACACTGTATTTATGTTGTTTAAGTCTAGTTACAAGATCTTTACCTGACTGGCCTAAGTAAAAAATATTACATTCCTTGCAAGGAAGCTTATAAATGCAGCCGCCTGTATTATTGTGGGAGTTCTGAAGATGTGAATATATATATATATATATATATATATATATATATATATATATATATATATATATATATATATATATATATATATATATATATATATATATATATGTAACTGGTCGGAATTACTGGACCTTTAATTCTCACTTAACTTGTGGTTTAATAAATATTGTTAGATGATAATTGCAGTGGAAGCGCCCCTTGGAGAGAAATCCCGAACCAGCACAAGAACACTTAAATTTACTAAGAAAATGAATTCTCCGTGACCCGCAGAAGGATAGCATCTGTGATTGGGGTGAATGAGACACTCTGTAAAATTTAGACACTTCTATTCCCTCCATCACTACAGACACAATCAAATAATGGTACACCAACATATGCGCACCTCTTAACCTGAACTTAAAACACTACTCTGGGGAATAAAAGTTATACATGATATTGAAATTATTAGAAACTCGGACAATGCCTCATTAGACAACAATAAATTCAAAGTATTAAGAAATGTTGCCTGTGCACATGAAACAGCCCTTCAGGGCTTTCAACAAATTAATATCAATCACTGAGGAAATGGTATGAAAAAATAAGAAATTATTAATTCCACCATGCATAGGCATAAAGGGCACTCAATAGAATTATGTTACACTAACAGATGCAGGCCTTAAGGATTTTCAACAAAATTATATCAAGCACTGAGAAAATGGTGTAAAAAAAGTAAGAACATATGAACTCCACCCTGAATAGGCTTTAAGGGCACTCAACAAAATTATATCAAGCGCTGAGAAAATGGTGTAAAAAAAATAAGAACTTATGAACTCCACCCTGAATAGGCCTTCAGGGCACACAACAAAATTATATTACCCCCACAGATGCACACCTCCTAACCTAACTTAAACACTACTCTGGGGAACAAAGGTTATACCTGAGATTGAAATTGTAAAGAAATATGAAATGCATTAAAGGAACTAAATCACAGTATCACTTGCAACATAAGGGAGAAAACTCATCTGAAAAACAGTTCCCTCATTCTCTGGTTTCAATTAGTGACAGACATTAAAAAACAATACTATCAAAATTATTTAAGAAATATTAACTACACACAGCAAGACAACATCAGTAACTGAAAAAATAGTATTAACTACACACAAAAATATTATCACTATTATTAAGAAGTTACTGAGTCCACCAATACCAGTGAACCATGCTTCCTAACCTAACACATAGATTCCACCTGCACTCCCTAGTTTTTTAAGGCACAACCAACAGGCACCCGTAGTTTAAGGCCCAAACCAGCCTTTCTCAACCTTGGAAATGTACCTCTAAGTTCCACTGGACTCTTGGTCCCAGTGTGTGACCTTGTATCACTCAGCTGGCTTCACTTTACCCCCAGTACATTCATGAAACGGAAGGGAGTGAGCCAATCAGACCTTGTGCAGTTGAGAGAAGCCTTAGCTTCCCGTTAGTAAAAGGTTTTCACTAAGCTGCTTGAAGATATGTGGTATTGTGAGCCGAGGTAGAGGAGAGCTGATGACCCCAAACGATCGTCACGTCGTTAGTTGGGCACCCAGACGGCTAGGTTCACTCCAACTCTCACCATACTCAACAGGTGGCTCAAACCCAGGTCAGTGGACGGTCATACAGCTCTCTTCACCACTCGTGTCTCATACCGCCAGTGGACGTTATCATACCGCGTGGGGTCTACAGAACCCTGAAAAACTCGGGCTGTTAGCTATTGTCTCACATCACCTTTTGTTCCTACCGCCCTATCTAGCTTTGTCTCAGATTGAATAAAACTTACTTGTTAATACTGATGTTAAATAAACGAAGGAACCAGATCATGCGATCCGTCTCTCCTGGGTACAGCACAGAGGTGGTCCTTGACCTCTTTCACAACTCTCCAGCCACGCTTGCTCACTGGTTCACACTTTTCAGGAGTGACTTATTTACCAGACGATTAACAGCTTAATTAGGACGAACGCAACATTTTCAGACTGGGAAACGATCTATGATTACTTTTAATTTAATATTTGATATTTAATTTCATAATTCGCCTCCATATTAATTCGGTAAGTTACATTTAATATCGTATAGGCCTAGTTCCACAACCTCTCGATACTAGCGGGAGCGCGGTCTTCCCTCAGACGACCTTGAACTTAGTATCGCCAATGGCGCTGCGTTTGAAATTACACTGAAATTTCTGAATATTACATATATATATATATATATATATATATATATATATATATATATATATATATATATATATATATATATATATATATATATATATATATATATATATGTGATAACACAAGGAAAGGAATAAAACACAGAGAGACTTCGTGTTTTCTTCTTTCCTTGTGAATATATACTAATCACTTGCACCTACAGTGATTTACTTGCATATATATATATATATATATATATATATATATATATATATATATATATATATATATATATATATATATATATATATATAAGTAAACCGTTTAATATATATATATATATATATATATATATATATAAACAGTTTATTGAAAAGTTCTGAGCCCGAGGCTGAAAATATACATTGACATAAATGACTTATTAACATACATTGGTGGTTCAACAAAAGCCTTCATTAGAGAAAGTCGAAAAGAGCATACAGTGAACATACATATTAATGTTTACACATAGATCATGTGAGCTGAGGTGTTGAACAGTAGACACGTACTCTAGTAACTCCCTCACAGATGGGCGGTATGAGGGCATCACGTGGAGTACTCGTTCCCTCACAGCTGGTGTTATGGGGGCTTGACGTGGTGTAGTAATTCTACAGATGGTGTTATGAGGGGCCTGATGATGTAGTAGTTCCCTCACAGATGGTGTTATGAGGGGCCTGATGTGGTATGTAATTCCCTCACAGATGGTGTTATGAGGGAATCACGTGGTGTAGTAATTCCCTCACAGATGGTGTTATGTGGAACCTCACATGATGCTGTAGCAACTCATTCACTACGTGGTGTCGTAGCATCATGTGTGTGTGTGTGTGTGTGTGTGTGTGAGTGAGCAAAGACAATCCTATACTTATTCTTCAGGAAAGGTGCACCATTCCACCCTCGTTTTACTCAACTAATATACCGACTGGAAGACGCTGGTATTATAAACTACTGGAATAAGGAAGTGATGGCCCGACGCGTGAGGGAGAACAAGGCGGCTGCAGCTCTGGATTCTCAAGCTTCCCTGACGAACAGTATACAGGTGATTTGACTATGCTAAACAAAATCGACTTTTAAGACATAGAAATCACGATTCTGGGCCTAGGGAATATAATAAAATTGTACTATAAGTCCAATATTACATATGAAAGGACTATAACAACAAAAGCAGTAAAATTTAAATATTTTTAATCTGTTAATCATCAACCACACTTTATTCAGTGTAGCGTAGTGGATGCTTTAAAATAACAGCAATTGAAGGAATTAATGTCTGTTTGTGAGTTGTATTGAGATTAGTATAATGACGCATGACGCACTAGATGTCACACTCACATGCATGAACCCACGTTTACTCCAGACAGACAACAAGGAGGTTGTACTTGGGCTGAACCACCTGCAGGGCGCCTTCTACTTGCTGTTTCTGGGCTCCAGTGTAGCTCTCCTTTCTCTTCTGGGGGAAAACTTCGTACTCTTCCGCTACTCGAATCAGTAATACTCATCCTGTCATCAACCGTTGATAGGTTTCTCCAGAATCAAAAGTAGCAAACAAAAAATATAATAATAAGTAGATATTAGTTTAGAATTCAGTAATTATAATAGAGCAACTCCAAGTAATTGGTATTATTGTATCTACTGCAATTATATATATATATATATATATATATATATATATATATATATATATATATATATATATATATATATATATATATATATATATATATTGTGTGTGTGTGTTCTTTTTTGCGGAATCGGTTATTTAGCAAAATGATTGAGCATGATATTAATTTTGCAAAATAATTTATTTATTTATTATTATAGTTATAGCTTTTACACACACACACACACACACACACACACACACACACACATATCTAAATCTATAATTCTCATAAGAAATTATATAATCTATAGAAAAATGTACGTGTGCAAAATGGTTTGGAAGTATATCTGTATATGAGTGACCGCTTATAGTTCTCTATTGAATGTTTAAGGAGCTGTATAAACTGTATCATATTTGGTTCTTAAAGAAACAATTAATACCATTTACATGATCCGTCTATCGAAATTCTGTGTCATCATTGCATCACCCATGCGGCTTCTACGCGTCCTTCTTGTGTGCTGGGTGAGTTGGGGATATTTACCACTCTTCATCCCAACGAAACGTTACTGAACTCACAAAGGCAGAATATACCATACAGAAAACTCAGAGAAAAAACAGGAGATTAAAACGTGGTGAAGTTTACCTCCAAGATTATTATAAAGTATTGTCCAGTCGGGTTAAGACCCAGATAAGTAAAGCAAAAGAATAATAAACTGGAGGCAGCAAGGGAGGCGAAGTCAAACCTCCAGGAATTCTTCGAAATAAACAAAACTAAAACACGAGACGAGATTGGACCAATACAGTCAGATACCAGCGTGATAACGGATAACAACAGAGAAAATGAGCTATAATCTGAACATATATTTTTCAACAGTTTTCACCACCGAAAATTTAAATGTGATATCCCAGGCACCGTTTATATACAAAGATAGTGAAGAAAATGGATTACGCAAGATAGTAGTGACTAGTAATGGTGCTGATAAACAAATAGACAAACTAAATTCACCAGATTATGATGAGATATTTGCCAGCAAATTTGTTTAACATGTCATTAAATACGGGTGTAGTACCAGAATCCTGGAGGATAGCGAATGTGATTGTTTTCACGATAGGAGATAGATCACTATCCTCAAGCTACTGTCCAATCAGTTTAGCATTAATTGTAGGCAAATTGCTGGCTTCACAAGAGCATGTTCATGTCTGACAAATATATTAACATTATTTTCAACTGTTTTCGAATCAGTGGATGACGCACACCATTATGATGTGGTATATACCTCGACTTAACAAAGCCTTCGACAGAGTCTCCACGAAAGACTAATTCGAAATTGGGTCATGGAATTGGAGGAGATATTCTAAAATGGATTAGGGCGTGGTTACAGGACTGGAAACAGTGAGTAAGCATTAACGACACTAAATCTGATTGAGGTAATGTCACTAGTGGAGTACCCCAAGGCTCAGTACTTAGACCATTACTATTTATTATATACATAAACGACATAGATAGAGGCGTACAAAGGAACATAAGTAAATTTGCTGACTACATTAAAAGAGGGCGTGTAATTAAATCTGACGAGGATTCCGCAAAACTAAAGTAAGATCTAAATAACTTTTTACCATAGTCTGGAAACTGGCAGATGAAATTTAATGTGGACAAATGTTAAGTACTTGGTCTAGGAGATGTAAACAGAGAAACCAGATATCAGATGAACACCATTGTTACAGAAAAATCCTACTGTGAGAAAGACTTAGAAGTAATGATAAGTAGGAAACTTAAACCAAGACAACAATGTGCATTTGCTCGAGATTTGCAAGACTAATCCCAGGCATGAGGAACCTTGAGTAAAGAGATAGGTTAAAACATCTCAATTTGCACTCCCTCTAGAGATGTAGAGTGAGGGGCGATATGATCAAGGTGATATAACAAAGCTACTCAACCTATCCAACCAGGAGCGAACACGTAACAATGGTTTTAAATTAGACAGATTTTGATTTAGGCGCGAGATAGGTAAACACTGGTTTGAAATAGAGTAGCGGACTAGTGGAACAAGTTACCAAACATCATCATTAACTCGAACGCTCTGGATAGCTTCAAATATAGGTTGGATGGATATATGAGTAACTGACCAAATAGATTAATAGGCCCGCTGCAATTTCCTCCATTCTTATGTTCTTCTGAGACACCAGGTGCAGGCTTTTTAATTTCCCCCACCAGTCCTCTCGCTTCCCTGGAGCAAAGCCTTTGTGGCTTCGCTCGCAGGATTCAGCTTCACTAATTGCTGTAGTATGTCGTTAGGTCTACTGGGGAGAGAATAGAGGTTTCCAGTCTGCCGTCCACGTCGCGAGTATGTGTGTGTGTGTGTGTGTGTGTGTGTGTGTGTGTGTGTGTGACACCAAAACATCGAGCAGATAATTTGGGAAAATCGACACACCCCGCATACATTTAGTGCAGATCTCGCACCATCAGACTAAAACATGTTTGGTCCCCTCAAAAATCTTTACGTGGAAAGCATTTTTTCGAATAATGAAGAGGTGAAGAAAATAATCGGAAATTGGTTATGGAGCCATCCAAAAGAATTGTTCGCCACAAGAAAACAAAACCTTAGAAAGATGGGACAAGAGCATAACTGAAGAGTGAGATTATTTGGAAAAATATATGTGATCAATAATGATAAATCATTACTTCTGCAGTTATATTTATTTGTCTCATTACTTACTGAATGACCCTCGTGTGTGTGTGTGTGTGTGTGTATATATATATATATATATATATATATATATATATATATATATATATATATATATATATATATATATATAATAAACAACCTCACCAGCCAGGACTTGAACCCTCGACCAGGGAACGCTACTACCATGCCACAAGGACACTAAAAAATATCCTAAACTATATTATATTTCACACAAAGCCTGTTCGTCGAGCTGATGGCACCGTGAACCTCCAATGGGGATTGCCCGTCCCACTATGTGGTGGGAGTAGCATTTTACCGAATCCAGCTGGTATGAAACATGAGGTAATATATATATTTCATTTAGTCCATATAGCGCGAGGTCATTGATTGTAGGTTGGAAGTCCGCGTGCGATATGGACTAAATGAATTATATATACATATATATATATATGCTGATAACCACAAGGAAAGAAGAAAACACGAAGTTCCCAAGCGCTTTCGTGTAATTCACATCTTCAGGGGTGAGTACAGACTAGTCTGTACTCACCTGAAATAATTACAACGCCTGATCAACAAATCACACACCTACAGTGATTTACTTGCATATATATATATATATATATATATATATATATATATATATATATATATATATATATATATATATATATATATATATATATATATATATATATATATATATATATATATATATCATCAGTCCAGATAGCACGCGGACTTCCAGATACAAACAATGTGTGCGTGTTGTTGTTGTACGGATAAGTTACGTTACGTCACGCTACTTTACGTTAGATTATCAGCTAAAATTTGCATTTTTTTTTCACGGAACCTAACCTAGCCTAGCCGGACTTACGTTAATACTCCTGCTCCCAATGACAGATTATTCAAGTGAACTTGAACATCCTTGCGTCTGCCTAATGAAAGTGGACGTAACTGACATGACACAGAACAATCTAGATTATTTTTGGGAGCGATGCATATCCGTCTTTCTGCAACACCTACTTTGCAATCACAAAAACGTGTGCTTCTCCCTGTTTCGCCATATCTCACCTGTTCATTATTAAGTAAATCGGAATCGTAATCAAATTCTTCTCTTTGCTAGGCTGGATTGTACGAAAAGTGGATGGAAGATATACTGTTTAGAGCTAGGCAAGAAAGTGGTAGGAGACAGCAAGCGAAGCAAGGCCAGGAGGTGGGCGCCGTGAAGAAAGATTACGATAAGAGGAATCAAGCCCTGACATTCGTCCACATGCAAGGACCCTTCATACTTCTCCTACTGGGTTTCTCCTTCTTTTGTATTACTATTATGATAGAATTGGGAATAACATTGGTTAACATGGGAACTCAGTAAATAAAATATTTCCACAACTATCACATCTTTGAGGGAACATTCACATTACTCTGTGCATAATTAAATGCTTTAATTTCAAGGACATTTGTAAGAAATTATAGGAAGGACTGCAAATAGAATGTTCTCAGGAAACCCCATGGTGGTCTAATTTTAAAACGGAATAGCAAAACTATAAATATTTGGTAATTCATAGAGCGCGACTCCCGATTACTAACGTTCAGGATGACTCTTGAGACCGGACAACGGAGGGGACGGATCGACTGATTGGGACAGCTACTGACTTGCGCAGCCGGATCGTTCAACACGACTCCACAGTTCAAATACGTGCACACCCTAACGTTACGCCGCTACCTTCCCGGACACGCGTGCGCCTGCACCATAACCCGGCGATACCAACCCATACGTGGGAACTTACTCCCCGAAACGCTGTGATACAGCTATTTTACCAACGTGACACATTAGGGTGTGTCATACGGAGGCGAATTTTTTTTTTTTGAGTTTGAAAAATCGGCCCATGGTATTAATGATGTAGTTCTATGTGCAGAATCATGTGATATCTTCAGATTTGAAAAGTTTTCATTTTTTGCTAGGTAAATTTTAACTTGAAATCTTATGAAAATTCAGTATTCCCACCCTTTTACCAACACCACTAAATAGCTTATTTAAAGTAAAGTAAATGTATCAGGTTAATTTATTAGGATGAAAATGATCCAGAATAGTGAAACGAATGATCTTGACACATTTATTAAATTTAATATTCCTTTAGAAAACAAAATCATCAAATACAAAAACCGGTTTTACTACTACGACCCGGTGTTGCTGCACACCATAGAGAACATGTCTTTCTTGCTTCTGTTTCTCTCATCACCTCCCTGC